ATACACAAGTACATTGTCTCAAAGCGCTGGTGAGACACATTTCCCCTTAGTCTCCAAAAACCACGAACTTTCTGTTGTTTTTATTTGGTCAAAATGCAATAGCCTCATCCACCACTATTCCGTGGAAAGACGCCTGCAAGATCACTGGGCTGTTTCACTTGAACAAATATGGACAGAGCCAATTCCTCTGCTAGGTTGGAGAAGCTGATTAAAACAGAGCCAGTTAGAGCTTTTGAACTACATGAGACAAACCTAAATTAACATAAAACCTTTTCCCCTGGTCATGTCAGAACAGCAGAAAGCTATAGGGCTTGGTTATATCTTCTTTCACACTCAGGTAATATTTAAATCTTGATCAATGTCTATATAATTCAGTAAAAATGAATTTAACTGCAGGGTTACCCCATGTTGTCTAATGCCAGCACTGTTATTAGTGTTAAATTATTTCTTCAATACAGTTAAACAGTAAGAAACTGGTTTTGTGCCCCATGCTACATTCACCAGAGGGTGGAGTCACACAACTGTCTCTGCTTTATGTGAAACTGAACTTCAGAGTAAAGCCAACTCATGTTAGTTAATGATATAATGGAAGAAAAACTTAATTTTCCCATTTGGAAGGACAGCTTCCAAATGGGAAAATTAAGTTAAAAAAAAACAGTACTGTCTGGGCTGCACTGCTTAACTCCACACTCAATCAGGGGCCCCTCAAATGAACTTTCCAGTGCACAGTGTGGCCCATGACATCATATGCAGAAACAACGCAGTCGCTGTGACGACACAGGACATCAAACACTCCAGCTAAAAAAAAACAGAAAAAAAAGGGAAGCGTAGTTCAAGTAAAACAAGAACTCTCAGGTGTTCCAGCCCTCGGTGTTGCCAGCTGAAGACATCAGCGGCCCCACAGTACACCCAGTGACTCAGAGAATCCAACAGCATCTCTCCTCCTCATGTCTCCTCACATCTGCTCTGAATTAACAGGCAAGTCTGTGTTCCCTCAAAGGCGCGTGAGCTCTGGTGCTGAAATTCTTTTTGCAGATGTACAATGTAGTCCGAAGGGGAAGAAAACGGTTGTGGTAACACTTAATGAATGTTCCAAAGTGGTGAAGTAGTGCAGGAGTGCTGCAAAAAGGTGCTCATTTCCCTCTGCACGTTTTCAGTGCCCGAGGGTGACATCACTTGACAGATGTCCACGGGACTGTTTCCTGACACATCGGGCTTGGTTGCCAATCACAGATAATCCGCACTAGGGTTACTCTCCTCTCTTTTAAATCTTCTCTAAGCTAGACAGAGTCTTTAATAACCACGTATGGTTTTGTACCAATTAACCCCAACAGAGACCTAACTTACATCTTCATGCAGTTGCTACATTTCCGGCTGCTTTCCAATAGAAAACAGCAATAGAACAAATTAAGTTGTCATGTAAAAGGAGAATTCACTCTGGCACAAAGAATTCGACACAGATGTAGGAAAGTAACAACATCTGACCCATCTGTCTAATCTAAAATAACTTCTCCAATAATCAAGAGCACACTTAAAGAAGATCCAAAGTCAATTCCTTCAAGAGTTCCAAGCTAATGTTCAGGCAATTCAAAGGGCAACCATCTTCACACATTAGCCCCAACAGCAATTAGGCGTTAAAATAAACAGCAGAGGGGTTCACTTACCACTGTTCCCGTCTTGACATGTAACAATCAAAACCTGAGCGACGGAGACTACCAGAAAAAGGAAAGTCCGTAAATGCACAAAGCTCATCATGTCTATAAGAAAGACATGAGCCTTCCTTGTGCACAAAGCAAGGGGAAAAAGGATGAAAAGGAGAAAAAAAATGCTCAGGTTATCACTGCACCACCATGAATACAAGAGTACCCCTCCTTGGAAGCAGCAAGCAGACCCAGCCCAGACTGCGTGAGTGCTTTTTTTGTGTAGTTACAGCTTTAAATGAGAAGAATGCTGGCCAGCCTAATTTTCCTCCCCCTTTTGTCAGCCCTCTCCCATAACCATCCTCTCACAGGCTTTTGTGGCTGTGGGAGAACTACACCCATGTTCACAAGTCCTCATACTTCTTTCTGATTCTTTCTGTCTGTCTAGCTATCTCGGGATGTAATAGTCTTGGCTCTCACTCGATGTAAAAGATGGTAGGGGACAGATAAAAGAAATGACTTTGCTCGTTTGGAGATGTCACTGATTTTTTTGCCTCTCTTCAGAAGTGGTTGCTAAGCAAGATCATAAAACTTCTGTTTTATTGCTGTCTCTGGGGCACGAAACAAGACACACAGTAAGCCGAGAGTCCCTTTTTACTGGGCAATTAAAAGTAAGAATAGAGTTTATAACTCTTTTGTTTTATATGAGAAATTGTAGCATAGAAAATTGCTTGTCAATTATTTTGCTTATAAAATCAGATGCATCCCTTCAGTTAAAGTGTCCTAAGTCAAACGTGCAGAAAGAGAGATAAAAAGCAAACTGAAACAGTATGGGACAGTCACTGTGGGTGGTCATGAGTGTAGGTGGTCATGATAAG